AAAACAGTGCAAGAAATAACCCCAGGTCCCTGGAATATCATGTAACATTTCATTAGCTTAGTCCCTGGGTGGTAAGATGCTTTACCAGTGCTTTGGAAACATTTTTATCCAATTCACATTAAACTCCCTCCAGTTCACATTAAACTCACTCCCTCCAGTTCACATTAAACTCACCCAGATCAATAAAGTGTCTTCTCAGGCTCCCTTTCTCTCCCTCACCCACCCATTCCACTCTAGTTTTAAAAATTAGCCATACCTTTAATACCTTAGAAATTAAAAGAATTTAAAAGCCACAAAATATAGCATTTGATAAAATCTTTAAATACCACTAGAATGCAAGCTTCATTGAGAACAAAACTTTCACTCTCTAATCTACTGCCATATTCCTGCAACTGAGCACAGTGCTTAGCACATCATCATAATTATAGCTAACAGATACAGAACGTTCCCTACGTGCCAGGGCTTCATGACAATATCTAAGGAACAGGTATTATGATTACTAGGCTCCATGCTGTTGAAATCAGCAATTCTACTTGTAAGGACTTAATTCTATAGAAATAACTGTGAACGTGCACCCGTATTTAACAACAGTAATATGTGCTATCACAGTTCTAAGCACTTGACTTACTAATCCTCTTAACAAGCCAGCAACCCTGGAACTATTATTAGCTTCATTTTATGGTTGACAAAAGTGAGGTCAGGGACATTAATTAACTTGTAAAGGGTCACAGAACTGGACTCCTGGAGCCAAAATTTGAAACCAGGCTGCCTGCCTTCAGGGTCTATGCTTGTGACCACTATGCTGTATTGCTCCCAACATAATTACTGCAGGTGCTATTTACATGAGGGATTGGAATACCTAGACATCTAACAACAAGGAACTGTTTTTCAAAAATTAACCAAAAATATGTAAAATCATTCATCCACTTAAAATAACATTGTAGAACAGTGAGTGACATAGAAAAACTTGTTCAATATAGGGGTGCCTTGCTGGCTCAGTTGGTAGCACATGCAACTCTTGATCACAGGGTTTTGAGTTGGAGCCCCACGTATGGCACAGAATTTACTTAAAATAAAAAAAGAAATTTAAGGGGAAAAAAACTTGTTCAATACAGTGTTAAGAGAAAAAATCTGGTTGAGACATGTTTTAAAGAAAAATATTCTCCTAAGTGTTAACAATGGTAACCACTGGATATTAAAATTATAGATGACTTTTTGCTCATCCGTACTTTCTAAGTGTTCTATAATATATTCCTTTTCCAAAAAAAAGAAAAAGAAAAATGGAAATTTTTTTAAATTAAAAGAAAAAGAAAAGGGAAATCTGTCTAAACCCATACTAGAGATTTCCTGGCAAAACATATACAGATTGTGCTCCATTTGAAAAAAAAAAAAAAAAAGGAAAAAAGGAAAAACAAGATTGCAATGGCTAATTTTATGTGAAAATTAACTGGGCTAAGGGATGGCCAAATCACTGGGAAAACACTACTCCTGTGGATTCTGTGATTTTTAAAAATGGTATCTAATGCTTTCATGTATAAATTGGGATTTTCCTGTTTTCTTCCAGGAGAGCTAGGATTTTAGGTCTTACATTTAAGTCTTTAATCCACTTCAAGTTAACTTCTGTGAGTGGGGTAAGAAAGAAGTCCAATTATATTATTTTTCATGTGTCTGTCCAGTTTTCCTAATAGCAGTGATTGAAGAGACTACCTTTCTCCATTAAGTATTTTAGCTTCTTTGTCAAATATTAGTTGACATATATGTGTTGGTTAATTTCTGGGCTCTCAATTCTGTTCCTTCGTCAGTGTTTGTACCATACTGTTTTGATTGCTACACTTTGTGATATAGTTTGAAATCAGAAAATGTCGTATCTCCAACTTTGCTCTGCCTTTACCATACTGCTTTGGCTATTCAGGGTCATTTCTGGTTCCATACAATTTTAGAACTTTTTACTATTTCTGCAAAAAAATGGCATTCAAATTTTGATAGAGGATGCACTGAATCTGTACATGACTTTGGGTATTATGGACATTTTAACAATTCTTCTAATCCATAAAACTGGGATATTGTCCATTTATTTTTGTCTTCTTCAATCTCTTTCAACAATGTATAATAGTTTTCAGTGTACACATCACTCACCTCCTCGGTTAAATTCCTAAATATGTTGTTTTTGATGCTACTGTCAACGGAATTGTTTTCTTTCTTTTTCAGATAGCTCATTGTTCGTGTATAGAAATGCAAGTGATTTTTATGTTGATTTTGTATCCTGCAACTTTACCAAATTTGTTTCTCAGTTCTAAGAGTTTTTTGGTGGCATCTTTAGGGTTTTTTATAAATAGGATCATGTTATCTGCAAACAGACAATCTGACTTCTTCCTTTCTGATATGAATGCCTTTTATTTCTTTTTCTTGACTAACTGCTCTGTGTAGGACTTCCAGTCCTTCGTTCAATAGGAATGGTGAGAGTAAGCACCCTTGTCTTGTTCCTGACCTCAGAAGAAAAGTTTTCAACCTTTTACCATCGAGTATGAAGGCAGCTGTAGCTGTCATATATGGCCTTTATTACGGTAAGGTATGTTCCTTCTATATCCAATTTTTTGGGAGTTTTCATCATAAAAGGATACTGAATTTTGTCCAACACTTTCTGCATCTATTGAGAGGATCATATGATTTTTTATCCTTCACTCTATTAATGTGATGTATCACATTTATTGATTTGCATATGTTGAACGAACCATCCTTATACCACAGAGATATATCCTACTTGACCATGGTAGATGATCCTTTTAACGTACTGTTGAATTCAGTTTCCTAGTATTTTGTTGAGAATTTTTACATCAATATCCATCAGGAATACTGGCCTGTAGTTTCCTGATCTGGTAGTGTCCTTATCTGGCTTTGGTATCAGGGTAATGCTGGCCTTGTTAAAATGAGTTTGAAAGTGTTCCCTCCTCTTCAGTTTTTTGGAAGAATTGAGAAGGACGGGCATTAATTCTTCTTTAAATATTTGGTAGAATTCACCAGTGAAACCACCTGGTCATGGGCTTTTTTTTACTGGGAGATTTTTGATTACTGATTTAATCTCCTTAATCATTATTGGTCTGTTCAGATTTTCTATTTCTTAACGATTCAGTCTTGGTAGGCTGTACATTCCAAGGATATTATCCATTTCCTCTAGATTATCCAATTTGTTGGCATACAATTGTTCATAGAGGCCTCTTATGATCACTTGTATTTCCATGGTAACAGCTGTAATATCCTCCTTCATTCTAATTTTGAGTCTTTGCTCTGTTTTCCTTGGTTAGTCTAGCTAAAGTTATATTTATCTTTTCAAAAAACCAATTATTACTTTCATTGATTTTTTTTCTATTGTCTCTCCAGTCTCATTTCATTCATCTCTGCTCTAATCTTCAATATTTCCTTCCTTCTGATAACTTTGGGCTTAGTTTGTTCTTCTTTTTCTAGTTCCTTGAAATGTAAATTTAGATTGTTTGTATGGAGACCTGGAATCTTACATCAGACAAACGACACAAACCATACCGAAGGGAACTAAATGAGGAAGGTCACTGGTATCCATGGAACAAAACACAAAGTCTTCAGTGACCAGAGAATTGTGCCCATAAGCATGAACATCAGCACTGCCCACTGCCTCAGACAACCGCAGGTAGAGCTTCCAGGAAATCTGGCAGGAGGCCTAATAAAAACCGAGCAGTAGTGCCTAAGACAAATTTAATTTAACTTGTTTTTAATGCCAAAGACTGGGTCCTGCAGAAAGGGGAAATGAGTAAACAAATACAGAACCAGATAGAATTTTTGTTTAAAAGTAGTTCAACCCCCTACTCAACAAACACATCTTTAGCTATATGACCTTTTACTTATGCCATTTTCTCTGCCTGGAAGACTTCCCCCTAATCCCACCACTTGTCATTTCTTTAACTCTCATTTATCTTTCAAGATTTAGCTCAAACATCATCCCCTTTAGAAAATGTTCTCCAAAGCTGTAGTATGACATACTTGCTTTCATAGCAGCCTTTCAGGAACAAATAATTATTGCACATCTGTCACCTGACAAGCACCTGATGCATTTCTCATTCATAACAACTATTCCATACTATAAGAAAATTATTTTCATTGAACTATTTACATTTGTCACTCATATCCAACCCAGAGCCTCATCAGTGCCTCTAGGCATCCTTAGTAAATGCCTTGAGGCTCCCATGAAGTACCAGGTGCTAGATATCAGAATGATTCAGAAGTTGCCCCTGCCCTCAGAGAGCTCATAAATGACAGAGAAAAGAGGGAGATTAACAATTATAGCTCACAATAGGGTGAAGCATGCTGTAAATAATGCCGTGGGCAAAGGAGGCTTCTGGGTTCTCTGGTAAGGAGGAGACTGGGTGTACAGCCTTTGTACAGAAAAACATGTTCAGTGTCCTGAACCTGCCTTGCCACAAGCTCACCAAATGTACTTATCGGCCTTATAAATAGCCTGCACATCCCTCAACATTAGCTCACAGAGGATGAGCCCATTTGCATTTCATTTCTTTCTTTGGAGAGTTAAATTGCATTGAAGAAGCTAGGTATTCTTCCACTTACGCAGCTGTCGTGATGAGCTAAGTTCAGACAAAGGAATGAGAAGAAGCCAAAAAAAAATGTGTAGCATCCACAATCTTTAATCTGCAACTATATAACGGTGTTGCAATCATCTTATTATTGGTTTGGTTGGAAACCAAGTTTATGAGCAGAGCTGCTACGACCATAAAAAAAATTATCCCCCTGTGATTAAGGAGTAAAATGAAAGGTGTTAAATAAATACAAAGAAAAGGGAACACTTTCTGAAAGCCATTCCTATCTAGCCTGGAGGGGAAGCCAAGTGACTGAGAGTAGGTGGGGAAGAGTGAGAATTCACAAGGTGGTGGTGTTCTGACTTCGGCTCTCAGTCCCTGATGACGCTCACCCAACAAGTTCTTCCCAAAAGGGCACAGGCAAAAGAGGAAAAGTACCTCCGCAGTTCATTCATAACCTTGAATGCCTTCCCCATATGGGCAGGGTTGACAGTGATCGTCCTCTGGTTCTTCTCATCATCTCCGGCCTGAACCGGGGGCTGGGAGCTCGTCTTGATGCTGTGAACAGGAAGGGAGGGGGAGGGTGAAAAGAGGATCACATGTTGATAAACCCATTCACCCAGCCGCCACCACTCGGCGTATGTAACCGCCCATCCACCAGAAGCATCTTTGTCAGCTTGTTTTCTTCATCACAGACCCAGCGGGGAAAGAAATGCGCTGGGTCAGCCATTTCTGCAGGATCTTCCAATGCAACGTACATTCCTCTGGTGGAAGCCAGGTCCTCAGTCAGCTTCTACCAGCACTTGTGTGACTTTGTGGGAAGTCCTTATCCTCCACCCACCATGCCCTAAAGGGGTGAGGAGGTGGGAGGAGATTAAAGTGCTATTCCACTCACTTCACAGGGAAATTTGTTCATCCAACAAACATTTAATGGCGCCTACCCTGTGCCAGGCACTATATTTAAATTTAAGGGAAATACAACAACAAACAAGGTCTAGACAGCTGCTTTCACAAAGCTTAGAGCTCCGCATAGGAGGAAGCCAAGTAAACACCTAAACATCCTAACATTTTTATGTTCATTTTTTTATTTAAATTCAATTAATTAACATATCATGTATTATTTGTTTCAGCGGTACAGGTCTGTGATTCATCCATCTTATACAACCTAAACATCCTATCTTACTTATGATGATTGGACAGGAGGTAGAGAAGCACAGAGGATGGGCAACGACTGCAGTGCTGGCAGGATGAGGGGAAACTTCCCAGAAGCTGAGGGAGAGCAGAAATCTCAAGGAAGAGCAAAAAAGGGCAGATAAAAGGAAGATGGAGAGCATCCTGGCAGAGGAAAGAGGAGATACAGAGACCTAAAGGAAAAGAGTCAAGGGAGTTCAGTAGAACCAGGAGTCTCAAAAGCAAAGGCTAGATCTGCAACGACGTGGATGAACTAAGTGAAATTATGCTGAGTGAAATAAGTCGATCAGAGAAAGACAAGTATCATATGATCCCACTGATGTGAGGAATTCTTAATCTCAGGAAACAAACTGAGGGTTGCTGGAGTGGTGGGGGGTGGGAGGGATGGGG